AGAGGCAACATCATGTTTATTCTTCATCAAATACACCCATGTTAAGCGAGTGCAGTCATCAATAAACGTAACAAACCAACGGAAACCATTTAAAGTCACACGAGCAGGACCCCATACATCAGAATGGACTAACTCAAAAGGCAAGATAACTTTATTATTACTTAAGGGAAAAACAGTACGGTGACTCTTGGCCATTACACAAGTCTCACATTTGAAGCTAGACTCATCACAGGAGCGGAATAAAGATGGAAACAGACGCTTAAGGTAGCCAAATGACGGGTGTCCCAAGCGACGATGCCATAACCAGTGAATGTTGTTGTCAATGAGAATGAGTTGAAGAAGGGATTACCTAGCTCTAATACGAATACTGAATTTGAAGAGTTTTTGTGTCACTTTTAACAGGTAAAAATGGAGACGTCATTTGATTGCTTTATTAGTTCTTTGCCCATCCGGTTTTTGCTTTGTTCCTCTTGATTTTAAATACTTTTCTCTATTTTGTTTCTTCTTGTCGCTTCACTTCATCTGCTTTCATTTTTTGTATTGTCAGGTCTCCAACAAGTTAAACGTTAGGTCTCGAATTGGTCGCACATTCCAACTTTTCCGGGGTGCATTATGAATTACATCCTCCGTGTTCGGCTTTGGATGTTCGGATTAACAATAATTCTTTTTATGCATAGTAGAAAAGGTTAATGTAAATGTCACCTTCTATCTATATAAACTTATTGATAGGTTAACATGCTTGTTGCCGAAAAGCAAGGCCAGTCATTTCCTTGGTAGATCTCGTAGAACTTTATAAGCTTCAACCACAACCGTGGGTTCTGTTGCTTGTCCTTGGAAGATCATAGTACCGTTTAAGGTCACAAGTGTTCTAAAAAATCCCTATAAAAATGCAGAAGACAGTCTATGACAACTATGGACCTGCCAAATACGAAAATAAGACAACTCCACATCTGGATCCCACACTACCATATCTGCATGGTTCCCAATTGCAATTGCTCCCTGCAAATTTATAATTCAATTCATCAATACAATGAGATTCCTGTCTGCATGAAAATCACTAAAACAGAGGAAAAACGGATGATGATATGACCTTCAATTCTTGTCCGGCAAGCCTGACGGGCCTTTCACTCTACCATAAAGCTAGATGTTCTAAAGTCACTCTATATTTCTGGCCATATGACCATGTCACGGGAAGAACAAACTGCAAATTCCCCTGAGGAATGCCAGTTAGTTTCTGAAACCAATCACAGACCATAACATTTGCAAGGAAAAATATGCCAACCTGCAATGCCACCCCAAGCCCTGAAAAAGTCTCCATCATCAAGAAGCTTGAGTTCCAGCAGAGTTGGTGAATAATCAGAGCTTAGCTTGTCAACATGTCCTACCTGAAACAAAACAGTGAAACCAAATAGAACCAATTTGATGGTGGATAGATGGCTATCCCATCATGTATACAGGCAAACATAGAATGATTGCATAGCAACAAAGCCTCCCACAGTTTTTCCTTGTTGGCAGTGTCACGGATGGGTGGAGAACACTTAAAACAAGTATCTCCATTCCGAATCTCTTCTGCTGCGAATGCTAAGTAGTGGGGGCACGTCTCCACAGTTACACTGTCACCACCACTTTTTGCATCCTGCTATTATGCACAAAACTTGCTTTCAGTAAGTCTGATAAAATATGTGGCTGCAGATAGAGCTGAATAGGTAGAAAGTTATGAATGGCCATTTGTATCTGCTAGAGTCATAAGACCCCACAAAAACCACATACGTATAAAAGACCACCTTAATAAGATCTAATGAAGAGCTTGAGTCAGACAAGTGAACAATATGAAGATGAGCTCCTTTTGCTGGGGCACCAAACCTTGTGTCCTTTGTCAAGGTCAAGAGATCCCTAATAGCTGCCTCTTCCCTGGTTTGGAAACAGAGGAAAAACAGTTTTCATGTAAAAATATATTCAGGGATAGCAAGTCTGAGGGGAAAATTTTGCAATATGTATTCAGCATCCAGAAAGTCACATACATTCAAAAGTAAATAATATCTTACCATGAAGGTGGCCTGGTCTTCAGATACGTCGAATAAGAATGAGCATCGTTACTACCACCTTCAACTCCCAAATCGCTTTCAAGATCTAGTTGTTTCTCTGCATGTACAAGTAAAGGCCTTCTATATTTTGCCAGTACAGATAGTCCCTCCTAAGGAACAGATAATTGAAAACAATGTGCAGATGTTTGAAAAGACATCAGAGTTATGCAAACAACATCGCATCTCAAGAAGCCAACTGATCATGCAAGTCTTCAGCCATCACGAATGAATAATTGATTGTGTTGATTAAATTAGTACTGGTAGAGTTGGATAAGCAGCAATACAATTAAGTCATTGATTCTATTCTTAATTTATTTTGCAAGCTAAATCAAATATTTCTATGACAGTGGGAAGACTGAATCTCATGAAACAAACCTTAATATGACTGGCATTTGTCATAGGAAAGTCATTGATCCCTGATGGACACATGAAAGACTAGAAAAACAGACAAGGAAAAATTTGTCAGATGAGGATGGTATAATGTTCTATTCATACTGCAAAATTTCTAAACACAAATTCATCTTCATGGCATTTGTACTATGCTATTAAAGCGTGTGCCAGTTTCACTTCTTGATTAGTTTACCTTCAAACCAAGAACACCGGCATTTAACAGATCCTCAAGAGCAGATGCGCTGAATGCATTTTCAGGAACAAGACCTCCCCAGAAACCTGCCAACAGTGTGTAGGTAAAACCCAGTAGTTCTCAAAAGTTTTAGTATAATGGCTTCCCCAAACATATATATAGTTTTAAGAGCATACCAACATCAACGTAAATTCTGCTCTCTGCGGCTTAACTGTCTAACAGTACACGACATTTTGATTGGTAAACATCATATTTTGGGCATTCCATCATAATGCAGGACCGTTTTTTTGGTTGAAAATACAAGAAAAACATGTTTTGTTTTGGGTATGGAAAAAAAATATTGAACTCAGCTGCAAAGAATTTCCACAATTATTGATGTCATTGAGGGAAAATGTGGTTCATAGCATTGTCAGACTGATTGAGTGCCAAAGTTAATGATCTCCTCCTTAACTAGAATTACTTTCCTAATTTTCTTAAGAAGGAGGATCCTAAAAGGATTTGGGGTCAATATCTATTTCCAAAAAAGAAAGTTATGGTTTAGGTTTTAGGGCAAATCTTCCCTTTTCTATTTTACTTGTCTAATACAATTATTAATATCTTTGAATGTATGTTATTTTAACTCCTGATTCTTCATATGATATGGGTAGCCCAGCCTCTTCAACATTTAACTCACTCGTTATTAAAACTTTTCTTAAACTTTTGCATTTTACCTTTGTTATTTAAATTCAAATTGACATGACCCGCCCCGAATTCTTCGGAACCTGGGACAAATCTTGTGGAAAATCAGACATTACACCAATGCCTAGGGTTGGGCACGGTTTGGTTTGGACCGGTTTTTGCCTCAAATTAGAACCGAGCTGGTACTATTCATTCGATTTGGTTCGGTTCGATTTTAATATAAAAAAATTCAAAAACTATCCGGTTCAGGTTAAATCAGTTACGGTCCGGTTTGATTTTGAACCGGATTATAAAAAATTATTTTTAATACAATTTTCAATTGAAATTTTATTTTTTTGACTTGAAAATTAACAAATTATTCAATTTCATACAAAAATAAATATTAAAGCTAGAAAAGAGAGATATTTTGAAATTAAACTTGGATAAATATTAGTTATGAGATTAAAAATATAGCATTTAATATAAATAAATATTGAAATTATATATTTTTTAATTTGACCAGTTCGGTTCGCCCTAGTGGAATTTTTGAAGACATAGAATCGGATCCAAAACTGGTCCAAACCAGTCCGGTTCGATTTTTGACAAATTGTTGACTTTTTGGTCAACTCGGTTTTTTTCCGGTTTGGTTTGGTGCGGTTCGACTCGGATTTCCGGTTTGCCGGTTTGAATGCCCACCCCTACCAATGCCAGGCCCACTTACAAATACTATAGCCTCTTTTCCAAACTAAGGAAAAGGGGCACGAGACTTTCTGCTGAAATTTCAGCAGTCTCCCCTGAAAAACGGACATTTACCAAAATTGTTTCACCTGTAAAAATCACAGTTTAAGAAACCAATTGCCAGCACACACAATGCAATTACACACAGTTTACAAAATAGGCTTCCATCCTTCAAATAATTCAAGGCAGAATCACTAGCAATGCTTTTAAGTCGAAATATACATTAACAATGCAATTAATGAACTCAAATGATTTTACGAATACCACTGTATTCAACATTAAATAACTTCTCAAATTTTCAACCCTCAAAAAGGCAATATAATACTTTCCACCAATTTTCAGCACCCAACAACTACCAACTATGAACTATCACCATCAGTTCTAAGGGCCTCAAGCCCATTATACAATATAATCAAACTAAAATCAATCGTTTAAATTTGAAATGGATCTCAGACATGTCAGAATCACATACACTATTTATTAAAAATCCATTCAAGTGATAACTGAGAAATAAACAAGCATTTAATCTCAAGTTGAAATCGGACTTCGGGCCTACCAACATATTCAAAACCAAACCCAAGTAATAATAAAAAGTATTCAAATCCAATAATCACATCAAAATCCATTCACATACTCAGAATAAGTCAAACCTTTTAAATATAGTTTATTTCGTGGTTGCACCTAGGTGAGACCCCAAGGTACCTATGTACCTCTTGGTAAGTGATCAAGCCACAAGTAGTTCTTATTTCAACTATCACGATTCAGATAATATACGATTATTTAAAATAATGCCGACGATTAAATTTAGATTCAAATATAACATCAAATTCGACAAGGTAACCACTGAACACTTTAATAGTTCATTTCCTTTTATCTAATCATCTCCGCAACCATACCCTATCCGAGGTGTATGATGCCGAACAACACTTTCCAAATTATGACAAACATTCATACATGTACAGAGTACTCACAAAGCACAATCTCAAGAGTCTCAAGCCGGAAACGAATCCACATATACATATATGTAATATGTATGTCTATATAAACACCCACATCTCACCATCATCATGTAACAGGGGAAAACAATCCAATCTGGGGATCGTTTGACTAGACCACATGGAGGAATCCTTAACAACCATGTGGCCAGGGATGAGCTGTCCAATTGGGGGACTGGGCTAACCAGCACGCACATCAGAATCCTCAATACTCGTGCGCTTGTGACAAGTCTTACGCGTGCAGACCACCCCACCAAGGGTTTACGAAACACCCCGTCAAAGGTGCCCAGGTTCCGATCATATCCACGTATCCATTTCCATGTTCCCAAGTATCCATATCCACTGTTTCCAAGTATTAGTATTCAAGGGAAGGTACATATGATAATGCACATCATATACTGGGGAAAACAATCTAACACGAGAATCGTTTGGCTGAACCACACAGAGGAATCCTCAACAACCATGTGGCCAGGGACTGGGCTCACCAGCACGCATAGCAGAATCCTCAATATTTGTGCGCCTATGACAAGTCCTATGCGCGCAAATTACCCCGCCAAAGGTCTACGGTAACACCCCATCAACTCAAATAACGGTCAAGATTCGTTTACACGGTCGTGCTAGTACTTCACAAAGGGTGAAACTACCTCGGAAGACTCACGGTCAACTAAGGGTCAAACTGCCCAAACTTGGTCAACCAGGCCCGCGGGGCCCTTGACATCTGATTTCCGATCTGAAAGTTCCTACGGGTTCAACAAGGTTTACTAAACATGTCCTGCAAGTTTGGTCCGAATCGAACGGTCGGATCGCTCGCGATAGTACGATCGGACAGTTATCGTTTAATGCAAACTTTAAGTTATTGAATCGGAACATCCGGGGCTCTGATTCATGATCCGCGAATTCCTACACGCTCCTAAGGATGCCTAGATCAACATATATTAAATTGGAGTTGATCCAATGGCCCGAACATATCGAACCAAGATAACTTCTAATATGCGATATCCGATCGACGATCAAATGATAACAAAATTCAAATCCGAGCATACCGTCGTGCTCGGGACAACATGGGGATTATTTTAGAACTCAAAGACAGGCTAGCGCGTGGGTACCCAAAGAGATTTCCTGCGATCGGAAAAAACTCCAAACCGCCGGTAAAGGCCTATACCTACATGATCATGACATTGAATGGAGCAACTTTTGTTCTTGGACCAACCTCAAAAAGTGATCGGAAGTGGCCGGAATCGAGGGCCGAAACCGCCCAAAACTTTAATCGCTTAAATCCATTTCAAAACGAAGAAATTAATCTTAAACAACCCAACCAGCAGCTAGAACACATTGAGAGAATGAGAAAACATTCCAAGTTCGAAGAATTTGGTTGCTGGAATCGTCGGAACGAGCTCCAGAAATTTAATGAAAAATCCGGCCACTTTTTTGAAAAATTTGGCCTGATTCAACGGGTCTGGGATGGGGCAGGGCTGGAAGAGGAAGAATAGTCAGTTCTTTTGGGACTGGTGTCACCTCAAACAGTGGCGTGTGGTGGCGTTGGCGGTGGAAAAACCTCCGCTGCTGTACTTTTGGGGGGGGTCGTGCGGGAGGGAGAGAGAGAGAGAGTTAAAACCATTTAGGCAAAAATTACGGTTTTGCCATTGAGCTTATTTTGATTGTAACTTTTTCGTTACAACTTCGATTTAAGCCCACTACGTGTCTACGAACTCATCTCGGTACGATCTACGTAATAGTACTAGTCACTTCCCCAAAATCCTTCCAGATTAAAAAGAGACCAAATTACCCCTACCCCAAGGGCAAAATTGTAATTTCAATATTAACTAATTAAATTAAATTAATTAAATTATCGAATAATTCAATTTTTGGGTCAGAATGTTACACAAATCATATGATAATGCACATACCTCATGCCTAGTTGTTTAACAAGTCCTTTAATTAAAATACAGTACACTAACCCCATAAGAGAAGAACAAATTGGTGAGATAAAAACCACCTTTTACTTGAGACATTTTCTAAATAGATGTATTCTCACACCTTCAAGCATATGAATATAATAGACCATGTGCTGCAAATTGCAATTCATTTGCGATAAAAATAATACACCATGTAGACATCAATATGATAGGATGCAATGCATGTCTAAACAAAAGCATGACATGTATGACAAACGACATAAAAGTGCTCTCATATTGTATGTAGTCTCATCTCTTCAACCACGGAGATACGGGCCACATGTAAAAGGAATTGAATCAGATATGTCAGGACATTTTCTTTCCTGAAGTGAGTTACTCTAATGTCTATAAAGACTACAAGTCTATAATTATTTAAAAACATTTAAAATAAAAATAAAAATTTCTCATTATTTGTTAAATTGTCATTAACATGTAATCTTCATCAACCTTTTGCTTTACCTCTAGAGTACCATTAACTCTCCATTCTCTACTATTTCAAAGGATAAATGTTGAAACTAAAACAACAAGTATAATCATTGCAAGTAAAAGCAGAAGGAATATGTTTCCACTTGCGTTTTGGGCACGCAGAAGGCTAGTGTTCACTTTGCTTCCCACAGATTGAACAATCCTTAAAAATGGCACATCCTTCACTTAAGCCACAATCAGCACAACACGAGCCTATAAAGCGGGATCCGCAAATCTTACAAATTACCTCACATCCCTAGTCAAGAGTTGCTTTATTTGGGACATGATACTTGTTGCGTAATGTGCTCACCCATCTTTAAACAATATTTACATTCACTTGTTGCAATTTTGTTAATCCATTGTTAAAGACATCAAAAGCAATAAAAATAATTATTTATTATTATTAATTTAAAAAATACAATAACTTTCCATTGGTTAAGAGTTTTGGGACTAAATTGAAATTAAGCTTGAAAAAAAATATATACTTGGTATTTTAAAAAGAATCATACTATCACAAAGGACCTCATTAGGAAAGTTCTTAAATTCAAGTCATAGCCTACGTGTTGTGTGTGAGAGTACTCTCTCTAAGGCCCTCAAATTTTTTTTTTTACAAAAAAGATTCATACTATCTCAATTTATTATGTGAATAATATTACACTGTTGCCGCCACTGTCAAATACGTGCTCTGAAAAGAAGTTGGGTCTGAAAATTTGGCAAAACCCGATCCGATTCGAAGAGGAGAAGGAAGCGATGAGCAGCGGTCAAGGTGGACCCCACTCGCTGGCGTTCAGGGTGATGAGGCTGTGCAAGCCCTCATTCCAGGTTGACCCCATTCCCCTCCTCCTCGACCCGTCCGATCTCGTCGTCGGCGAGGACATCTTCGACGACCCAATTGCCGCCGCCCAACTTCCTCGCCTCCTCCACCACTCCCACGTGTCCTCCTCCGCCTCCGACTCCTCCGATCTCAGCTACCGCTCCAGATTCCTCCTTCACCACCCCTCCGACTCTATCGGCCTCTCTGGCCTCCTCGTCCTCCCTCAAGCCTTCGGGTCTCTCTCTCTCTCTCTCTCTCTCTCTCTCTCTCTCTCTCTCTCTCTCTCTCTCTCTCTCTCTCTCTCTCTCTCTCTCTCTCTCTCTCTCTCTCTCTCTCTCTCTCTCTCTCTCTCTCTCTCTCTCTCTCTCTCTCTCTCTCTCTCTCTCTCTCTCTCTCTCTCTCTCTCTCTCTCTCTCTCTCTCTCTCTCTCTCTCTCTCTCTCTCTCTCTCTCTCTCTCTCTCTCTCTCTCTCTCTCTCTCTCTCTCTCTCTCTCTCTCTCTCTCTCTCTCTCTCTCTCTCTCTCTCTCTCTCTCTCTCTCTCTCTCTCTCTCTCTCTCTCTCTCTCTCTCTCTCTCTCTCTCTCTCTCTCTCTCTCTCTCTCTCTCTCTCTCTCTCTCTCTCTCTCTCTCTCTCTCTCTCTCTCTCTCTCTCTCTCTCTCTCTCTCTCTCTCTCTCTCTCTCTCTCTCTCTCTCTCTCTCTCTCTCTCTCTCTCGCACACATTTTTACTCTTCTTCATCTGTTAATAAAGTTTTGATTTTTAACTTTGGCAGAGCAATTTATCTAGGGGAGACATTTTGTAGCTACATTAGTATCAATAACAGCTCCAATTTCGAAGTCAGGGACATCATAATCAAGGTAAGGTTTCAATCTCAAACTCTTGGAGACTGAATTATCCATAATTATTTGGTCTATTTTAATTTAGTTCCATTTTTATTATCTTTTATTAATTTTGTAAATTGCAGGCAGAAATGCAAACAGAAAGGCAGAGGCTTTTGCTGTTGGACACATCGAAATCGCCCGTTGAATCCATACGCGCAGGTGGCCGTTATGACTTCATTGTTGAACATGATGTCAAGGAACTCGGAGCTCACACGTAACTCTCCTCCTCTGTTTTCACTATTCATGTTTTACACTTTTTTTTTGTGTTTACATGTTCGGGCTTTACTATTTCTTAGGTTGGTCTGCACTGCATTGTACTATGACGGCGATGGTGAGCGTAAATATCTACCACAGTTCTTCAAATTCATCGTCGCCAATCCGCTCTCTGTCAGGACTAAGGTATTGTCCATGCACGCTCCTTGAAAATTGCATGTGCAATTCGAATCACGTTTGTGAAATAACCATTTCATTAATACTAGTGAACTTAAAATCTTGATTTTGATTTTGCAGGTCCGTGTTGTTAAGGTACGTTGAAGTTTACTTAATCTGTTGATTGTAAGTTTCTAAACTCTGCCACTGAATCCAAGCTTACACATTGTATTGTGTGTGAGTTATGTGGATGTCAAAACAGGTGTTTCACTGAACAGCATTCCTCATCTATTACTTAGTTTTGTTTGTATAGAAATTCTGCTTTCTTCACGGCCTAAGTAACAACTCTGATTTTGTTGATAACTGTTTGAATGCCTCTCATTTGTGTAAAATATATGAACTTTGATATAAGCATTTACCTGTTACAACTTATCCTCCCTAGGAAATCACATTCTTAGAAGCTTGCATTGAAAATCATACAAAGTCAAATCTTTTTATGGACCAAGTTGAGTTTGAGCCCGCTCAGCATTGGAGTGCAAAAATTCTAAAAGCTGATGAACACCATTCCGACAAGAATTCTCAAACACGGTTATGATACTAATTATTTTGGAATTTGGTTCTTTCTTTTCAGTTTTTGAGAGTCTAAAACTGATGTTATCACTCCTTTGAACTTTTGATGGCAGAGAGACATTTAAGCCACCAATTCTCATCAAATCTGGTGGAGGAATTCATAACTATCTTTATCAGTTAAAATCACATGGTTCTGCCCAAATGAAAGTTGAGGGAAGCAATATACTTGGTAAACTTCAGATAACATGGCGCACTAATCTGGGTGAACCTGGTCGCTTACAAACACAGCAAATTATGGGCACTGTGAGTGTTCAATTTTTAACATTGATCCACTACATTTTATTTGATTTTAGATCTGCATGGAGTTTTATTTTCTTCTGCTATTTCTTTTGAATATTGTCTATTCACAAGTTCATGTTGTAGTCTAACATATATGTATATAAATTATATATGTAAGTGTTTGGCTCCTTGTCTGTACTGTAGCAATGCCTGCTACTGGAATGGGCATATGATTTCTGAATTTTCTTTTGTATTCACTGGAACTGTCATTGGCCAAGCTTGCACTTGTCGCCTGCCCAAATTGTGTGCCCAATTTTAATTTATGCGGTTATCAGTACATATATGATAACTTCCACAGAACGAAGTTAATTTTTATATTCAAACTCATATGACAAATTCTACAGAAAGAAGTTTAAATATGTTTTGAGCTTCAAGTGGATTACTTATCTTCTCGGCATACTCTTTTGCAGCCCATAATACGGAAGGATATTGAGTTGCATGTTGTGGAGGTACCATCTGCCATCAAGTTGGAAAGACCCTTTTCGGTAATTTTGGTTCTTCGGAATGTTTTATATGTCTCTTATTGCTACATCTTGATTGTCTATATTTTAAATTTACCCGTAGAGGTTTAGTGGCTACTGGACTTTATACTTTGCTCTGTATTTTTATCTCCTTTACTTGTCAGTCTTCAGTTCATAGAATTAGTCACAGACTAATTTAATATAATGATTTGAAATTGATGAAGTAAAAACTTCATGCAGCTACACTTGAAGTTAGCAAATGAGACAGATAAGGAACTCGGCCCCTTCGAAGTGTGGTTATCTCAAGATGATTCACGTGAGGAGAAGAAAGTTGTGATTAATGGTCTTCAAACAGTGGTAATGCTTAAGTTATTCAAATTGCTGAGTATGCCATAATTGATAACATTTTATGTTGTGTCATGGTCTGCTTCAATATACGATTTGCATTTTAGATAGCATCATTAGTCATAGATGCTCCTAGTGTAAAAGTCTAATCTCAAGTCCAGTAAAGCATTTCTTTTGGGCTTATTTGGGTGATTTTCATTTTCATTTCTCTATTGCTCAATTGCTTATCTAATTGATTTATGAATTTAAAATCCATGCACAGGTTTTGCCGAGGGTTGAGGCGTTTGGTTCCACAGATTTCCATCTGGTACAGAGAATAATTACACCAGCACATTATGGATTCCGTTTAAATATTGTTGTTGAAGTGATCATCACAATGGAGATGATGATTGATAATGATAATTTCAATATAGAGATGTCAGTACATGTATTGTTGTACTGAGATTAGTTTTCTAAGCTCAGCAACCTAAACTGGTCATCTCCATTCTCAGCATGAATTTTGACCTTTTGCCTAAAGTCACACTTTATTTCTATATTTTCTATCTGCAGTTTTTGAAAACTGATATTCCAGAGAGAAGAAAGAGAAAATAGTAAGAAGTAATACACAACCACTAGTTGTAAGATTATTTGCTCATCTACCACCTGATTAGATGTTCCATCACATAAGATTTAACCATTCATCTTTCAATAATATAACATTGAGATTATTAATTTAAAAGAATTTGCCTCTGGTATTTTCATTTGTGTGAGTAATTCCTTGGCTCTTTGCTAATGCAGAACCTTATTGCTGCTCAACTTGGAGTTCAGAGGATAACAGGCATTACCGTTTTCAACACAAGAGAGAAACAAACATACGAACCCTTGCCAGATTTGGAGGTTAGGTTCTTTTTTTATCTAAGAAAAAAGTTGTTAGATATCTATCTGCTGGTACATTTTTTGTCACTGTTTCATACAGACACGTAGCGATGCCTGATTTTTGATGTACTGCATTTGGCATCTAAACTATAACACCAAATGCTTTTGGTTATTGTTCTGTTCTGACCAGCCTTCTGGACTTGGTGCAGATTTTCGTGGATGTGGACTAATCATTGGCTAGTTTTGACCGGTTTTGCTTCCCGTCTTTTGTGGGCGATATCAATACATTGAGCAGAGGCCATGGCCTGTCTCATCAATGGGTTTCAATCATGCCAAGCAGATCCGAAAGGCAAGCCGCTGATTCAAGTTCGATGATCGGTGATGTTTACCCTCCTTTGGCTTCTGATGGCTAAGCTTCAGTGATGTTATCCAAGTATTTGACGGTTTGATTGCATTGAGGAGCAATTGTAAAGTTGTAAGATTAGAATGACCATAAACATGCTTTCACCTTTGGTTGTGATTTGTAAGGAATGAAAGTAGTCTATAAAAGAATTCTCTTATGCAATTACATGTCTGATACAATTTTTTGGAAACTAGTGTTGCATCCCATGAACTTCGCCCCCTTTTTTTATTTTCCTCTTCTTTTTAACACGTGTTTTTTTTCTTTTCTTTTTTCAACTATTTTTTGGTTGGGTCGGCAACACTTGTTGTTGCGCTATGAGATTTGGATTACAAAATGAACCACGCTTTGCTATTTCCCATGCCTTATTACCTATTTCGTATTTTGTATTTGCAAATGAGTAGAAAGAAGAAATGATTTATGACTTCATGTTTAATAACACATTAAGAATCAAAACATATGTGAATCTATCTTAAAATCCGTAATTTAATACTCTCAAAACTAAGAATCTCTAGTTGATCCGATTCGAATTCATTACTTCTCAAACTTGTACGTCTGTCTACCGATTTCTTACTTCCTCTTTCCAAGTAAAGAAATATGCTATAAACATGTTCTTCTGGATTATCTAAACTGTTACATTGGATTGGACCGTATTAATTAAGTGGGCTGGTGCTAACACATGGATAACACAATAACATTTTGCCTTTTCTTTAAAGTAATACTCTTGGTAAAATAAAAGATAACACGAAGCAAATTTGGAGAGACACTCCAAAAGACCTTCATTCATGTAACAGATAGAGGTCGTTGCACAAGAAGAAAGGAATAAAGAAATAAAGAAAAACAGGGGAATATGTACGTGAATTTAAAATTAAACCAAATAAACACAAGTTCCAACTGATTTTGGGGACGAGTTTTCTGGGTCTTGAATTTTTAAGCTGGTGAGCTTGGGCCCCATGTTGCCCAGTTGGCTTCACTGCCGACACGTGGCATGTTGTGGACCCTCGATTGGACATCAACCTTGAAGTTGGCCCCACACATGACCCCCTCACTGTCAATCCTAGGCATTGCCTTCATCTTCCTGGTTGGATGCTCAAAGCTCATCAACCCTTGCTCACTGTGGAACATGCATCCTACAACCAAAACAATAAAAATTGATTGATCTGCTTCCTCTAAAAGACTAAAATAACCCCCCCTCCACAGGAATAACAAAAAAAAAACCAACATTTCAGTGTTAGACATACCAGCTGGAAATGGAGCAAAGGATTTAGCACAGCTTTCTTTTATGACCCCCAAGTTGTCAGAAACTACCACAGAGCCATCTGCAGCAATGCCCCAAAATAGGCTAACCCCTTCATTGGCACCCTGCACAAACAAACCCCACAACACAATCACATCCACTATCCCGCACCCACACACACCCACCCAGAAAAAAAATGATGAATTGATCAAGACACCCTCTACTCTATTTTCCACATTTAAAAGCCTACTTACCAATGCAGCAAATACGGTTCCAGCCGTGCTATCGTAGATGACAAATCCAAAGCTTCCATCAAGATCCTTGAGGACCTGATCCGCCGGGTATGGGCCCCGGTCACGGAGGGTCCGATAGGCCTGCATCACAAACATGGCCTCATTGGTGCATTTTGATAGCCCGTACTGCTTGTTCAGGCTGCAAAGATTGTTCAGGCTCCCCAAGAAAATGCAGTATATATTATCCAAAGAACAAAACAGCCTGCAAGTAATTAATTAGGTTCGATCCCCTCACCGTACATTAGACTAGTTTTGCATTAGTAAAAAATATTTGGGATGGCCAAATGATATATATACCTCTGTTGAATTGGGTAGGGGTTGTTTGGAGGAACATAGGCAAGCATTGCTGTGTTTCCGAAGCAGACAGAGAAAGCATTGTTGGGATCATGGCAAGACATGAAATCTTTGACAATCTCTTGAGGCCTCTTGGCAGAATCGGATGGGGCAGGGCTGTTGAGCTCCTGTGGTGGCTGCACCACTTCCTTGTTGAATATTGCAAGCATCTTGAAAATTTCACAAACACAAAACAAACTTGAAATGCAAGAGAAACTGCAAAGAGATATACGCAGAGAGAGAGAGAGAGAGAGAGAGAGAGAGAGAGAGAGAGAGAGAGAGAGAGAGAGAGAGAGAGAGAGAGAGAGAGAGAGAGAGAGAGAGAGAGAGAGAGAGAGAGAGAGAGAGAGAGAGAGAGAGAGAGAGAGAGAGAGAGAGAGAGAGAGAGAGAGAGAGAGAGATGTAGTGATGGAGAAGAATGCGTCCTGCTTGAGATATATATACAAATATTCTAAATATTTTGAGGGAGAGAGAAAGTAGGAAGGTGTGCGTGGCAATATTATCCAAAACTCTCTCTCTCTCTCTCTCTGGAAGAAATAAAAAAAGGATTTTGGTAAAAAAAGAGAGACACGAAATTGTAGTTGGGCAGATTCGATCCATAGTCCATTAAAATAGGGATCTTTTGCCAAACCCAAACCCAAAAGAACGGCGTAATTTTTGGGTATAAATATTGTTATGGATAGAATTTAGTAAATTTGTGGATAATAAATCAACAAGTAAAACAAAATTAAAAACAACATCCGTTGGCAAGATAATGTTTACGTCGTTTGGTCATTTGGATTAAATATGAAAATTTAGTTGATTTAGGGGGTATTTGGAAACAGTCAAAAACGTGTTAACCCCTTCCTTATCCACAACTACCAGTCGGTCAGTCTACTGTGTACGGTGTACCAGCACCTGCTAGCCAGCAGACTAATAAGGTGAGAGAGAGGGGCCGCGTGTGATCTGAGTCATCCAATCAGTTTTGTCGGTTGCTTTCTTTGATTGATTCTTACTATTTTGACTGTTTACTCACGCTTCTCACATATCCACGTGGAGCTGAATCGACGGCCCAGATGGGCTCGTGGGCCTACTGGGTTTCTTCCTAAAATCCAAATGTGGTTCTTGGATCCATAAGTACACTCGCACGTCAGATGTTATCTATATATATAAAGCAAAAGGCAGAGAATGGTGAAACATTCAAAATACCAGAAAATACCCTTGGTTAATACAAATATTAAGAATTGAAATTATTAATTAAATGAGGATAATATGGTAAATTCACACTTTTTTATATTTTAAAAAATTAAAATTAAAAAAAAATCGGATAATGGATCCTATTTTTATGGAAAACAACAACTCATTATCTTTTTTAATTCTAAAATAAAATTTTAAAATTTTAAAATAAAGCCTCTCCCAGGCGCGGAAGCACGTGCGAAGAGGCTAGTGTTTATAATGTGACTTAGACATCCCCATTGATTTTCATGGTAATGTTATGTTACTAACTAGAGCTGGGCAAGTTAAACGATGAACGGGTCAAACTGGCCGAACAGGACTGGTCATTGTTGGGGTTCAAAAATTGGGAATCAACGACCTCCATTCCGCGAGCAGGTTGGTTTCCGGCCAACTGGGTGAGTTCATTTGGTTGCTCAGCCCTGGTACTAACATGAAATGGAGGAGTACAGACGCTCCTTTAAAGGGAAATCAGAAGTAACATTGCCTTGCAATTAGAGACACCACTTATTTGAATCGATAGCGAGAATGACTTTGAAATTGGGGTGAAGGGAAGTAGAGGCTAGGGACAACGCCAACTAGCTTAATTGAGAAAAATAAAAATAAAAAAATCACCCCAAATTAAAAAGGGAAACAGAGAATGGAATGGACGAGGTTATTAGGCTCAACATGCCTCAAATGAACCAAAGATACATAGAGTTGCTATGCAAATGAGAGACCAACTTGAAGCTTGAACCGTCTGAAAAGTATATTATATGGTCTGTACACTGAAACAAATCCCGCTTTCATATCAATACAAACAACCTAAATGGCCCGAAATTCCTAAGCCAACAAGACATCTCAAGAACCATTGCGGAGACAGGCACTCAATTAATTTAACATGCGATCCGCTTCCCTGAGCAACCGTTACACATCTGAAAATGTTATTTTTTTCGAAAAGTAGTGCTATTTTACATTACAGTAGATTAAAAAACCCTAGGTTGTAGGCTTAGTTCTCTTATGCACTATAGTCCCTGCTATGGTATTTGTCTTCTGGATAATAAAAGGCATTCACTATGTTGCCTCCAAATTTTCTGCCACTGAGGACATTCCTTGCATTGGCACAACTCCCAGTATCAGAATATTCCAAGAACACCTGCAAGAGTTTGTACAAGCCAGATATTTGATAGGCAAAGAAAAAAAGAAGATTAAGAGCACAGAAAATGGATGCAGCAGAGTAGTTTTACCTTTCCAACTCCTGAGATATGCTCCCCATGTTGATCCTGACGAGGAATAACAACATTCACCAGAGTTCCTAACCATTCCAAACAATAAAGTTTCTCAGTTCTAATCCTAGTCATAGTGAAATCTAAAAGTGCTTTTTACAACTTTGCTTAACAAAACATCAAATATCTCTGCTTTACAAAAGACGCACATCCACACACACACATGCAATAAATTTTTAACAAAAGCTAAACAGGTTTGGAAGAAAATACCAAATTTGCTGCATTCATCCCTCATGTCTTCTAATATTTCTACATACTCTTCATCATCACCTAGTTGATCGGCAGTAATTGCCTTCATCATAAGAAGATATAATAATCAGTCAGTTGGAACTATCAAATATAAACCCAGAATCAACAGTCTTATAATATTCCTAAAGATGGATGTTAAACTAACTATACAAACAAAATGCATGTTTCGATAAAAAAAAAATACAAAATGCATGTCTTCCAGCGAACTTCATTTCGAACAGTGATACTACCTCAGTCAAGCATAGGACTTTAGTGGGTGTTTCACCACTAGCCATGGTTGCCATTCCACCTCCTAGAAGATTCAAGTCAACAACCTGCAAGGCCATTTTCTACAACGAAAGAAATATATAAATAAGCCAACAATGTATTCGTAAAACATAAACAAGAACCAAACATATTTATTTCTTACCTGCATAGCTATATGCTGTTGTGCCTGTACCAAGATATTTTCTTGTTCCGATTTAGACTGCCCATTGCTGTAAAACCATGGCAAAAAGATTTCAAGCTATCTTTATGGGCTCGAAATAATAAAAGAATCAAGCTTGCACTTTGATTTCAAAGAACACCAACCTAGCAGTAGCACGCCGGACCGTTAAAGTTTTATCACCCATTTTTAAGCCGTTAAGGGCACCACAGGCAATGTCTGTCACAGCTGGATCCTGAAGTTCTAGAATATTAGTTGACTAGATTTCTAGCAGTGAACTCCGAGAAGTATATACTATATATGTATTAAAGAGAAGGGAGATGGCCATAAAATCAACCATATCAATCACTGAGTAGAAAACAAAAATTTGTAAGGTGACAACGATAAAAATCAATAGCAAAGCCTCTAATCCTTGAGCATTTACCTGATAAACACAGAATCCATATCCTTTAGAGTTTCCCGTGTCTTTATCCTTCACAAGGTCAAAACCCCGGAGAGGGCTGCAGTGGTCAACTGTGCTGTTAGAATAAGCAACTATGGTTGATCAAAATGAGGAACGGCAAGTTGCAGGAAATTGAAGTCCATACCCAAAGGATTGTAGCAACTCTCTAATCTGTGCTTCAGTGAAGTAGTATGGTAGCCCACCCACAAAGATACGGTCGGGTCCCTCTGCTCCACCAACAGCACTGCTAAACAAATCCAAAATTAGTACACCACAAGACTTTTGCAATTCAACTCTACAAATTTACAAAGTAATTACAAAGAGTATGACACTAAATTAGCTTCACGTTAAATAACTCAAAGTCAACCTACCCTTGTGTGAGCCCAACAGCACCTAAGTTGAGATGAGGACTTGGTTGGCTTGGACCAAGTGCTGCCGCTAAGGTAGGATTATAGTCTGTTGGCCTTCGTACCCGCACAGCAACCCCCTGATCAATCAAAAGGAGCATGTTAATGAAGAAAGAGTTTCATCCTTTATGACAATTATACATTGATTTTAAACAAAACAAAAACAAACAAAAAACTTAATGATAATGTGCAATTGACATGCCTCGAATATAATCCCATCTAATGCCATTGCATTACTCGCTTCTTCAACCGTTCTCATCTCCACGAATGCAAACTTTTTTTCATGATTAATGTAGACATTTACCACCGCATCACCTGCAAGTTCAGATACTGGAAAACACACTACTCTCAGATAAAACCCATGTCATGCATACTGAACATAGTTAAAGTGAGATTGTGATAACACTTACCTGGACCAACAGAATTCCCTCCAATGGCAGCCATGACTTGGCTAAAGAATGTGGCAATTGTCTGTGACAAAAAAATGACACTCCTTCAAAGTCTTTCAAAGAATACAAGACAAATCCTTCAACCGAGTAAGAGGGAAATGAAAATTATAAAAAAGTTAATGAAAATTATGGTTTATTTGTAACCCAGTTGGCAGTTGGTCATGTAACAACCTACAACAAGCTGCATTATACGTGCATAGTACATCCCTAGATTCTAGAGTGATAACACAAAAGGCATCAAATTTTAGCCTTGACCATATGTCCACGATAGAATTGAAACCCTTGTTAGTACTTGAGATAGAATCCAAAAGCAAAACCAGAAATATAACCTGCTCATTTGCCAAGGGGGGAAGCCCACCAACATATACCCGACGTGCATGCCTTGTAGCCTGTAAGAGAGAAAGAGACAAGGCAAGTGAAAAAACGTCCTTCATGAATTTATTAAAAAAAATTGCATATATGTAAGTTTATATGTGCACATAGATAATATGAATTTACCTGCTGAGTCATCGCTTGGGCTGGCATCAAGGGAAGAGCCAGCTGTAACATGCAAAAGCATATAAAGTTATTCACAAAGATCATAATGAAAAATCATACTCAAGATTTCATAAAACCTTATACTGGTGAAAGGTGCATACATGTGCTGCCCCAAAAGGTAATACATTTTGTACCATTCCCTGCATCGTTTGTGGAATACCTGACAGTTGTCCTGCATTATTATTATTAACAGAAGGGGAACGGGCAATAACAGAAGGATAAGAAATATAGCTTCAAGGCCAAAACATGTCACAACTACACTGGCAATGTAATACATGTGA